AGGGGTGAAGGAACAGAAATTCCAGGGAATTGTGGGCAGGAAAAGCCCCCAGTTCCCTCGGGAATGCCGAGGTTGCTCCCCTGGCCCAGCCAGATCTGGGGGGGAGTTAAAGGCGGATTCCAAACACTCCATCCCAGGCTGGAAACGCTTCCAAGGGCTGGAATGTCAGACCTGGGGGGAGGGAAAACCAGCAGGGAAGGGAATCCAGAGCCCTGCAGTGGTCATGGAATATCCTGAGTGGGAAAGGACCCGCAGGGATCATGGATCCAACTCCTGGATCCCACAAATCCCCAAATCCCAACTCCCGAGGGCGCTGTCCGAGCCCTCCCGGAGCTCTGGTAGCTCGTTCAGAGCCCGACCCCCCTCCGGGGGAAGACCCTTTTCCCAAAATCCATCCCAAAACCCACCCCGGCACAGCTCCAGAAGGTCCTTCTCCACCCCTGAGCTCCCGAGGGATCTCGGCCATCCCGAATTCCCAACTCCCGACCGAATCCAACCCCCCAGCAGCGTCTGAGGAGCTTCCCGGAGTTTCCTCAGGCGGGAAAAGGCTCTGGGAGATCCCAGGAATCTCCGCCGGGCCCTGGAGAGGATCCCCCCTCCATCCTTCCCACCAAATCCCTGCTCCAAGCCCGGATCCCGCTGCTCCGGGATGAGCTGGGAGTTCTCCCAGAGTCCTCCCAGGGTGTTAAATCTCCCCAAATCTCCTCTTTTCCCAAGGCTCGGGGGGCACCAGGATCAGCTCCCGCTTTGTGGTGGTCCCAGGGATTTCCAGGATCCCAAATCCAGCCCCATTCCCAACCCTGCAGCCTCTGGATACGGGGGGGGAGGTTTTTTCTCCCCCCCCCCACGTTCCCCTTTAACACCTTGAGTTTAAAAATAACCCCCGAAATAAAACCCTCGTCCAGGCCACGCCCGGGCAAATCCCGGTGGGATTTCTCAGGGATTAAAGGAATTCTGCTGAACACTCAATCCCGGGGAATACAAGGGAAAGAAAAGCCGATGGGATAATTAAGGGATTTGCTGCCTCACCGGGAGCACACCCAGGAACAGCAAGAGGGGGGGAAAAAAGGTCCTGGCAGGGAAAACTCTGCCCAGGAATTCCAAAATAAACGTGGAAAAGGAGGAATTTCTGCCCCTTCCCAAGCTGCTGAGTTATCCCGGGATTATTGATGATCCATTGGGGATTGGTAGGCACAGGTTGGGAAGGGCAGGGAGGGCACTGGGACAGGGAAAAAGGGATAAAAAATGGGATTGTTGGGGATGAAAGGGATAAAAAATGGGATTTTCCCCGAGGGGTAGAGCCCTGTCCTCATCCAGGATCCCGGGGAGATTCCCAGGGATGGGTCTGAACTAAGAGAGGAGGGATTTCGGTGGGATATCAGGAAGGGATTTCTGGCTGGGAGGGTGGGGAGGCCCTGGGATGGATTTCCCAGAGGAACTGTGGTTGCCCCTGGATCCCTGGAAGTGTCCAAGGCCGGGTTGGATCCCCCTGGGATGGTGGGAGGTGTCCCTGCCCATGGAAAAGTGGGATGGGATGGGATTTAAGGTCGCTCCAACCCAAACCATTCCAGGATTCCTTGATTCTGGAGCCAGGCTGGGAGAGCTGGGAATGTTCCCCTGGAGAAGGGAAGGATCCAGGGAGAGCTTGGAGCCCCTTCCAGGGGCTGAAGGGGCTCCAGGAGAGCTGGAGAGGGACTGGGGACAAGGGCTGGAGGGACAGACACAGGGAATGGCTTCCCATGGGAAAGGGGGGATTTAGGTGGGATATTGGGAAGGAATCCTTGACTGTGAGGGCAGTGAGGGCTGGGATGGAATTCCCAGAGAAGTTGTGGCTGTCCCTGGATCCCTGGGAGTGTCCCAGGCCGGGTTTGATCCCCTGGGATGGTGGGAGGTGTCCCTGCCCATGGGATGGGATGGGATTTGAGGTCCTTTCCCATCCAACCCATTCCATGGTTCCGTGTGCTGGTTTAGGTTGGATATCAGGGATAAATCCCTCCCTGGGAGGGTGGGGAGGCCCTGGGATGGAATTCCCAGAGATTTCCCCATCCCCGGGAGTGTCCAAGGCCGGGTTGGATCCCCCTGGTCCATGGAAAGTGTCCGGGGCGGATTTTAAAGTCCCTGATTCCATGAAAACGCCCCATCCCGGCGGGATCGGTTCTCCCTCATCTGTGAGCTCGTGGCGCCCTCTGCTCCTCACCCCGGGGATAAACCCGGGCTAAAATTAAACCCCGGTGTCGGTTTAACTCTAAAACCTCCCCCGAAGCCTCTTTAACCTCCTTCAACCAGCTAACATTTATAATTTACCTTTCATTTATAAGGGTTTAAAGGATTGTATACGATTTTTATATGATTTTTATATGGTTTTATACGATTTTTATATGATTTTTATATGATTTTTAACGACGCGGTTTAAATAACATTTTATATCCTATTTATTTCTGTTACATTCCTGCGGTATTTACTGATCTAAATTTATATCAATAAATTCAGTGCGACTGTTAAAAATGGGATTTGAAGAACATTCACATCTTATTTATTTATATTACGTTTATATGGGTTTCCACGGCTTTAATTTGACTTCTTAAAATTTATATCTCCTTTATTTATGTTATATTTATATGGGTTTATATGACTTTATTTGGGGGTTAAAAAATAAGATTTGAAAAACATTTATATCTCATTTATTTCTAGAACATTTATAGGGTTTTGTATGAATTTTATCTGATTTTAACAGTGTGATTTCAGTAATATTTCTATGTTATTTATTTACATAAATAACACCTGAATTATAAATAACACGTACTAACATATATAATGATTTAAATAATATATGATATGTGATGGTATAAATAATAAATTATATAAATAATAAACACAAATAAATAATTGTTAAACATAATAAAAATAAATAAATAAATGGGTAAATGATATAAATAACAAACATATAAATGATACGGGTTAGACGGGCTTATGTGATTTGAACGACATTTCCACGTTATTTATTTAAACAAAATGTGCATTTTTAAGCACTTAAACACGATTTTTATACGATTTAAGTCCCATTCAAATATTATTTAAACACCCTCAACCCCCCCCAGGCCCGAGGCCCCGCCGGGTCGCCATGGCAACGCCGGGGGACGACTTTCAATGTGACACCGGGGGGGGTCGCACCGCGTCCACCGCCCGGCACGGCGCGAACTAATTCCTTTTATTTTTTTCTAACACGAATCCCTGAAATCTCATTTTTTCACCCCAAAAAGCGCCGCGGTGGCTTTGGCGGCGCTGTCGTTTGTCCTTATTGTTGTCGCTTGTCCCTTATCGTCGTCGCCCGGGCCGCCTCGGAACGTTCGTGGCGCGGAACGTTTGTGCGCGGGTTGCTGTTGGCGCCCGGCGCGCCCGCGGGGGGGAGGCGGGAAGATGGCGGCGCCCACAGCCGGGGGGTCCCGCGGGCCCGATCCCGGCGGGGGGACCCGAGGGCTCGATCCGGGAGCGGCTCCCTACGGGAACTTCCCGAATTATTCCCGCTTCCACCCTCCCGAGGGCCGCGTCCGCCTCGTGCCCCCCGGGCTCCTGCAGACGCTGTTCCCCGAGGGCCCCCACCCGCTCCTGGCGCTCGATGTGGGCTGTAACTCCGGGGTGAGGGAATTTTGGGGGGGACCCGGGGGGGATTTGGGGGTGGAAAGGGATGGGGAGGGGGGTGGGGGGAGTGGGAGGCGCGGATTTGGGGGATTGGGGGCACTGGAACAGACTGGGGGGCACTGGTGTTGGTTACTGGGAACACTGGGACAGACTGGAGGGCACTGGGACAGACTGGGACAGACTGGGGGGCACTGGTGTCGGTTACTGGGAACACTGGGACAGACTGGAGGGCACTGGGACAGACTGGGGGGCACTGGTGTCGGTTACTGGGAACACTGGGACAGACTAGGATACACTGGGGCAGACTGGGGGCCACTGGGACAGACTGGGAGGCACTGGGAGAGACCGAAGGACACTGGTGTCGGTTACTGGGAACACTGGGACAGACTGAGAGGCACTGGGACAGACTGGGACACACTTGGGGGGCACTGGTTGTGAGGGACTGGGGCACTGGGACAGACTGGGGGGCACTGGTTGTGAGGGACTGGGTGCACTGGGACAGACTGGGGGGTAATGGTGTCGGTTACTGGGAGCACTGGGACAGACTGGGATACTCTGGGGCAGACTGGGAGGCACTGGTGTCGGTTACTGGGAACACTGGGACAGACTGGGATATAGTGGGGCAGACAGGGGGCCACTGGGACAGACTGGAGGGTACTGGTGTGGGGTATTGGGAGCACTGGGATAGACTGGGAGGCACTGGTGTGGGGGACTGGGAACACTGGGACAGACTGGGAGGCACTGGTGTGGGGGACTGGGATACACTGGGACAGACTGGGATACACTGGGACAGACTGGGGGGCACTGGTGTGGGTTATTGGGGTCACTGGGCCAGACTGGGATACACTGGGACAGCCATTCCCTGAATCCTGGTGGTTTCCCTGCAGGATCTCAACCTGGCCCTGTCCAGGCACCTCCTGGGATGGAATTCCCGGAGATTTCCCCATCCCAGGGAGTGTCCAAGGCCGGGTTGGATCCCCCTGCTCTGTGGAAGTTCCTTGGTGGAATTTTCCTTGGGAATTCCATGCAGGATCAGCCCTGAGTGGTGCTGCTATCCCGTGCCATTCCCTGAATCCTGGTGGTTTTCCTGCAGGATCTCAGCCTGGCCCTGTACCAGCACCTCCTGGGATGGAATTCCCAGAGATTCCCCATCCCTGGGAGTGTCCAAGGCCAGGTTGGATCCCCCTGGGATGGTGGAAGGTCCCTGGTGTGATTATTTTCCTTGGGAATTCCATGCAGGATCAGCCCTGAGTGGTGCTGCTCTCCCGTGCCATTCCCTGAGTCCCGGATATTTCCCCCCAGGAGCTCAGCCTGGCCCTGTACCGGCACCTCCTGGGATGGAATTCCCAGAGATTCCCCATCCCAGGGAGTGTCCAAGGTTGGATCCCCATGGGATGGTGGGAGGTGTCCCTGGTGTGATTTTTGGGAATTCCATGGAGGGGCAGCACCCTCCATGAGTGTTATCCCGTGCCATTCCCTGAATCCCGGATATTTCCCCCCAGGAGCTCAGCCTGGCCCTGTACCGGCACCTCCTGGGGCTCCGCGAGGGCGATTCCCGCCCGGATCCGGAGGCGGCCGGGAAGCAGCTGAACCTGCTGTGCTGCGACATCGACCCGGAGCTGATCCGGAGGGCCCGGCAGAGCAGCCCCTTCCCGGAATCCGTGTCCTTCGTGCCCTTGGACATCATGGATCCCGACTCCAGGGATCCCTTCCTGAGCTCCCACCTGGAGCGTTTCGGCCGCTCCCGCTTCGACCTCGTCTCCTGCCTCTCCGTGACCATGTGGATCCACCTCCGGCACGGCGACGGCGGCCTCCGGCAATTCCTGGCCTTCCTGGCTTCCCTGGGATCCGTCCTGCTCCTGGAGCCCCAGCCCTGGAAGTGCTACCGGGCGGCGGCGCGGCGGCTCCGGAGGGCGGGAAGGACGGACTTCGAGCACTTCCGGTCCCTGGGGATCCGCGGGGACGTGGAGGGAGGGATCAGCCGGATCCTGACCCGGGAATGCGCCATGGAGAGCCTGGGCTGCCTCGGGAGCACCGACTGGCACAGGAGCCTCCTGCTCTTCAGATCCAGCCGGGAAAGGGCTCCGGAGCGGCCCCTCGGATCCGGGGAGTCGGAGGGAGAGTCAAGGAATTCCTGAATCCCGGCTCCTGAACTCTAGGAATTCCCAATTCCCAACTCCTGAACTCTAGGAATTCCTGAATCCCAACTCGTGAACTCTAGGAATTCCTGAATCCCTGGCCATCCACAGGGACAGGAGGTCCTGCTCTTCAGATCCACCAGGAATTCCTGAATCCCAACTCCTGAA